AGGTGTCAAAAGGTCACTATTATTGATCATATTTAACAGCCAAAATTTGGTTCTTTTATTTGTTTCCATTTTTAAGAAAATTCAAAAAATCAAAATAAAAAAAATGATTTCGAGAGGCTGTTGCTCGCTTAGGGGGCACTTTAGGACATAGGTCTATAGGAACTTTTTTTCCATTTTTTGGTTAAGGAATCTGCCTGAGAATTTTGGGACACATTTTAAAGGACACCCTGTATATACATTGTCCACATACATATTACTTCAAACATTTTTTATATAATTAATTGCAAACGAAAATAATAAAAAAATTAAAATTTTATACTTTTTCTCAAATTTTTTCATTACGGTCCATTTTAGAGAAATCATGTATGAAACAAAAATTATAGATATCGATATTGCAAACAACTTTTAGTTTATCAATTTTCTTAAAAAATAGAATTTGTATACAGAGAAAGGAAAGTAAAAATTCTTTAAGAAAACGTGGTACCTGGGTTTGTTTGAAGCTGGCAAAGCGTATTTTTAAAAAATAACAAGTTTTTTAAGTTTTGTAATTTGTCAAGAGCAATAAACACTTACTTTTTGCACTTGTTGCATAAATAACTATTTTTTGAAAACCTTATAATAAAGGGTGGCGCGTAATTATTCAGTATTTCAATTTGTGTAATAGACACGCAAAAAAGTTTCAAATAACAGTTATATTGATTAGAAACATACGTATTTTAAAAATATTTTTGAGTATACAGGGTGTTACGTTTTTGCCTGACAAATAAAAATATATGTTCTTTGCGTGGAACATCCTGTTATTTATTTTATTTATACAATGGTTTAATAATACTGTATTCAACCCTCGAATGGTTTAAAAAATATTACAGTGTTGCTCAGCAATTATTTTTTTTTTTAAATAGAGAATGATGCAGACCCCAATTTAAATTATAATAGATGATTTCAAAGGAAGACATCTTGAAGTTGCAAGGTCATTGGAAGATCTTTGCGCCATCTATAAGTTTACATAACAACTAATAAAATAAAAAAGAAAACTTTAAATTATTATTTTGGCAATCTGTTTAAGGTTACGGCGTCGGTATTCATTTTTTCTTTGTCTTCTTCATTAGTTGTACCTGCTCACTTTTTCACCATCTCTATCTACTTAGTGCCAGGGCTGGAACTCTGTGTCATGTACAATTCTACTTATCGCTTTCTACAATAGATTCTTTTGTGGCACTCTGTGTAACATAGCGGAAAACCAACGAGTATATACTACAGGATAACTAGTTTCATAAGAAACCACATTGCGATATTTCCCGTGCGGTTGATAACGTATTTATCACAAAAGAAAGTAATCGATTCCATTGTAGAGAGCGATAAGTAGAATTCTACATGACACAGAGTTCCAGCCCAGGTCCCAGAATCTTCTCTTTCTTAGTCAAATGCCATGTCAAAATTTGTAAAAACATAAAACGACCTGACGCGCGCTTAGCAAGCCATGTAGATCTAAGGTCCATATTTATAAACAGAACTGAGTCGGACTTGGGTAAGTCGTCCTTGAACTAAAATCGAAGTTCGGTTACAACGTCTCTAAAGTTCCAGGTGGTTCTGGTGTTACACTGGAATTTAGAGATGGATATTAGCAAATCTGTAACTGTGATTTACACTTACGAATTTGTTACTACCCATCTCTAAATTCACGCGATATAACCGAACTTCGATTTTGGTTTAAGGACGACTTACCCAAGTCCGACTCAGCTGAGTTTTGTTTATAAATACGGGCTTAGATTCTAGGGCCCGTATTTATAAACAGAACTTACGTGAGTCGGAGTTGGGTAAGTCGTCCTTGAACTAAAATCGAAGTTCGGTTACAACGTCTCTAAAGTTCTAGGTGGTTCTGGTGTTAAACTAGAATTTAGAGATGGATAATAGCAAATCTGTAACTATTATGTACATTTACGGATTTGTTACTACCCATCTCTAAATTCACGCGATATAACCGAACTTCGATTTTCGTTCAAGGACGACTTACCCAAGTCCGACGCACGTTAGTTCTGTTTATAAATACAGGCCCAGATCTTGGCGATAGTGAGAGTGAAAACTGAGCCCATACAACTAAAGAAGAAGGCAAGAAAAAAAGAAGAAATTTATACTTAACGCCGCTGTAACTTTAGACACATTGCCAAAATAATAATTTACAGTTTTCTTTTTTATTTTATTAGTTGTTATGTAAACTTATAGATGGCGCAAAGATCTTCCAATGACCTTGCAACTTCAAGATGTCTTCCGTTGAAATCATCTATTTTGGTAGGTTTACATTGATTGCAAAATTGTTTAATATACCTTTAAGATAATAATCTAACAAATAGTGGTGATAGAACTGGTTTATTTTATACAGAGTGTTTTGAAACATGTCCTTAATATGGCCAATTTTAACTTCAATTTACTCAATTTTTTAAATGTAACACCCTGTATATTATTTTAGCATAAAATTCCTTATAAATTTACCTATCCAACGATACCAACATGTTAGCCAATAACACATATACAGGATGTCCCAAAAAAAAACTAATATAAAAGTTGTATGACTATGTTTAATAAATATTCCTAAATATACAGGGTGATCCATAAACGAGGTGCTGACCAAACATACATTTTTATAGCAAAACACCTTGCATATAGGGTGTGTCAAAATGCTGTTATACCACCAATTAATTAATACAGGGTATTCCATTTAAAAAATTGAGAAAATCGTAACCTAACTTTTTGACAAACCCTATATACAACATAGCAATTGAGTGAAGTTAATTAAAATTGTTTGAATTTGTGAAAACAATCAAATATGTATAACTACCTACAGGGTGGTTTGCTTTATAAAGTATAGATTTGGTCAGCACCTCGTTTTTGGACCACCCTGTTAAATATGGTCATACAACTTTTTTATTAAAAATTATTTCGTATTTCTAACAAGTATTACAAATTAAAAATTAAAAAAAACCGACTTCAAAAACGTGCAGATGCCATCACCACATCTTAACCAAATTTATATAAGACCACCCCTGAGGTACCCCCTTACTAACAAAAAAAGAATCGTATAAATCGGACAAAGTGGTAAAGCATTATCGCTAAACATACATAAAAAATGAAGAGTTTGAGGATTTTCTCATGGATACAATTATTATATTTTGACCAAATTTATATGGGACCACCCCTAAAGTAGCCCCTTTCTAATAAAAAAAAAAGAATTATTGAAATCGGACACCGTGTTAAAGAATAATCGCTGAACATACATAAAAACAAATATCGCGACGTATTGATAACCTCCTCCTTTTTTGAAGTCTGTTAATAATAAAATAGCAATCGATCAATTACACACTGATAGGACACCCTGTATATGTGTTATTGGCTAACATATTTGTATCGTTAAAATGCAGATTTATAAGGAGTTTTATGCTAAAATAATAAACAGGTCGTTGCATTTGAAAAAATTAAGTAAATTGAATTTAAAATTAGCCATATCTAAGATATATTTCAATACACTCTGTATTAAATAAACAAATTCTATCACCACTATTCGTTAGCTTGGTATCTTATAACCTATCTAAATTATGATAATTTAATTTGGGGTCTGCATCATTCTCTAATTTAAAAAAAAATTCCCAGGCAACCCTGTAATATTTTTTAAAAACATTCTAGGGTTGAATACAGTATTACCAAACCATTCTAAAAATGAAATAAATTATAAGGTGTACTATGTAAAAAACGTACATTTTTATTTGTCAGGCAAAAATGTATCACCCTGAATATCCAAAAATATTTTTAAAACATGTATTTTTCAAATTCATATAAATTTTATTTAAAACTTTTTTGCGTGTCTATAACACAAATTGAAATATTAAACAATTACGCACTAATTGGACACCCTGTATAAGTGGAACCAAAATATAGCCTAAAATTGTGGCATAGTTGTTTTTAGAAGAAAAAAAAACTTTAAAAAGACTTAAAACACTTTTAAAAAACTTTAGAATAAACTTTAAATGAAAACTTAAAAAAAACTTAAAAAAACTAAAAAAACAAACTTTAAAAAAAAGTTAAAAAACTTTAAAAAAGAACTTAAACTTACAAAAATTACTAAAAAAAACCCAGGTGCTCTGCTGGCTTCTTTCTAGGAAACTCCCCTTTATTCCACGCGAAATACCCGGGTTCGAATCTGGGCTGGGAACTAATTAAACTAATCTATTTTTTTTTCATGTTTATTTTATTTTATAAATTAGCAAAATTCATAAATTATTTTAAAATTATCCATTTTGTCTGAATAATCTTAATTAATTTTTTAAATATTTAGATTTTCCTTAGCGAGTTGTAGAAGTAGAAAAAATATACTGTACAACTCAGGTGGATAGTCCATATAGCACTTAGACGATTGAGCACTCCGCCTACGGCGTCGTGCTCAAACTTCGTCCTCGTGCGATACGGTCATCATATCCATTTTTGTTGCACAAATCACTGTTCTCTTTAGGCAAATAAATAGTTGTTTTTATACAGGATGTCCCAAAAAAGTAGGCCAATCCGTTAATCATAGCTTCCTTAGGTCAGTGTAAGAAGGCTCTATTATTATTTGTTTCGATTGGGGCTATCATGTTCAATATTCACCCTGTAGTTGGATTGATGTTTATAGTTTTTGTGGTACTTTTTTTCTTTCATTCTTACTGAATAGTTTTTGTGTTGTTTTTTTATTGTACTATTTTTATATGTGTTGAATTTTCAGTATTAGTCTGGGAGCTTGGTCCAATAATATTGTTGATTTCTTCACGACCTAAGTTGTTTATTTTTTAGAATGACTTAATAGAATTGCTTTGTCGTTTATTTTGCATATAACTTTTTTCCATACTTCGTCATCTTTTTTCTCCTTTTCACTATAAGAACCACCATCACTTTCTGAAGACATTCCGCAATTTTTCAATAATCCCCTGAATCCTTAAAAAATACATCTAAAATTTTGTTTTTTTATTCTTTAGGGCATTGAAGTAAACTCGCTAATGATTCAAGTTACATCGGATATCAGCTGGTTGAGCCAGTGGATTAAGGCTCAAGCTCAGTTGCATTCTAAAGATTTCGCTGGCGCTTTAAAGACTTACAAAAGTATGGACGTTCATGGTTTATTAAAAGATAACACTTCTTTATTAGTCAACGTGGCTTATTGCTACCATTACATGTGCGAAGACGCCAAAGCCATATCTATATTACAAAAGGTACTGTTTGTTATATATATTTGTTTTTTGGAGAATTATTGATTTATAATAAGATGTCTAAATCCAGTGGCAGCTTTTAACCAAAATATTGGGGGTTCACAGTAACAGAATATAGATCTCGGTACAGTTTTAGTTAAAAAACTTTATGTTTTACAAAAGTATATTATATTGTTAACCCCTATATTTTGGTCACGTGGCGCCACTTTCTAAATTAATGAACATATAAAATATATATTTTTAAGAGAAAATTGTGTCGCGAGTTTTTGTTTATTTCTTTAAACGTCTCTATAAACAAAAATAATAATAACGAAATTTGACATAATTTTTCTTATCTCTAAATTGTTTTTGAATTATAATCAATTGAAAATCGTTATTTTTCTTTCTTTGAAGTTAATTTTATTTTCTACATTTTCTTTTCCCATAATTCTTGCTCTAAAAATAACAGTTTAAAAAGTACGATGTATTATAATTAGGAATGGGCAAAATAATCGATTAAAAAAAATAAAATACAAAAAATAATCGATTGTAAAAAGAATTAACTGCAAAAAATCATTACTTATTAAAAAATCGATTATGAAAATTCATTATTACAGTTGACTCAAAATGTATTGATAGAATCCATTTAAGAAAGAATCGATTGTAAAAAATAATCGCCTGCAAAAAATCGATTATATAAAAAGATGGATTGTAGAAAGAATCAATTGCAAAAAATTGATTATTAAAAGAATAGTAAAACATAAGAACTCGAGTATTAAAAATAATTAATTGCAAAGAGAAATAAATGCAAAAAAGAATCGATTGTAAGAAGAATCAATTGCAAAACAAAATAATTTATTAAAAAAATCGATTGTGAAAAATTCATTATTACGAGTTGACCATAAAATGTATTAATTGAATCAATTGTGAAAAAGAAACGCCTGCAAAAAATTGATTATAAAAAAACTGATTGTAAAAACGAATTAATTGCAAAAAAGAATCGATTGTAAACAAATTAATTACAAACGAGTCGATTGTGAAAAAATTATTATTACGAGTTGACTCTAAAATGTATTAATAGAATCGATTGTAAAAAAGAATCGCCTGCAAAAAAGGAATCGTTTCAAAAAAAGAGTCGTGTGTAAAAATTGATTGTGAAAAATCTAAAAAGTACTAATAGTAGAAAAGAAACGATTGTAAAAAAGAATCGATTATAGAAAATAATCCAATGTGAAAAGTATCCACTAAAAAAGAATCGATTGTACAAAAAAAATCATTGTAAAAAAGAAAATGTAAAAAGAATCGATTGTAAAAAAGAATCATTACATTTTTACTATTAATTCTTTTTAGAGTCAACTGTTTACAATAGATTTACCACAATCGCTATTTTTTAACACTAGTATTTTTTCTAAAAAGCCCTTTTACAATGGATTTTTTACAAGTGAATCGTTTAATTTTTTTTTCTTTATATCTCGTTAACGATTGATCTTAGACAAAACGTTTTTATAAACCAAATTTGACATAAAAGAGTTCCTGTCCTTTTAGGCTTTACGATTAGATCCTTGCTTAGTAACAGGAAGAGATTTGCTATCGACTTTATTAGCAGCTTCTGGTACGAAAGAGCACATAAGGGCTTTGGAAGGTTTGACGCCGATGATGGACATGTCTCTTTGGAGCGCCGAGCACTGGGTGGTTTTAGGAAATTACATGTACTCGTTGAAAAAATACGATAAAGCCGCGTATTTCGGTCAGCAAGCTTGTCACATAGATAGACGGAACGTCGAAGCTTTGCTGTTGAAAGCTAACACTTTGTTGCAAATTAAGAAATACCAAGATGCTACTACTCATTGTTCGGAAGCTTTACAAATATGCAATTTTAGGTATGCAATGTGTTTGTTTTTGTTTGGATGATTGGTTTTTAATTTCTCTTTTCTTTTAGGTATGATATACATAAATGTTTAGTCGAATGTTATATTCAAACTAGTAGATTGAGAGAAGCGGAATCTATGGCTCTCAATGCTTGTAAGCAAATGAATTTTACTGCACAGGGATATTGTGTAAGTATTGTAACGATTCTTTATTTTAAAATAGTTTGTTTACTTTAAAACAGTTTATTTATCATTTATTTACATTAAGTAATAATTAATTTAGTTATACCGAAGCACTATTATAATTCACACCTCTAATTTATTTAACAATTAACCTTTACTTGTCAACATTTATATTGAAACCACAAAAGAATCCGCTTATATAAAAAATGTAACAGTTTAGAAAAAATCTCATTCTGAGTAGAATGCTCGATGCTAGATTCTAGAAGATCTCGAAATCCTTCCTCCACGTGAAATAAAAAAATTACAAAATGGTTAAAAAAATATATTGTGAAAAAACCAATACATAGATTGTAAATATAAATCGATTAAAAATGACGTATATATTATAAAAAGGAATCGATTGTAAAAAATAATCTATTGCAAAAAAAAGAATTGTAAAAGAGAATCGATTGTAAAAAACAAATCTACTACAAACAAATCTATTGTGAAAAATCCATTGCATAAATAATAAATATAAATCTATTGAAAAAACGTAGATTGTAAAAAGGAATCGATTGTAAAAAAGAATTTATCGTAAGAAATAATCGATTGTAAAAAAAATCTATTGCAAAAAAAGGATTGTAAAAAATAATCGATTGTAAAAAACTAATTTGCTACAGAAAAATCGATTTTTGAAAAATGCATTGTATAAATAATAAATACAAATCGATTGAAAAAAACGTAGATAGTAAAAAAGAATCGATTGTAAAAGAGAACCTTTTGCAAAAAAAAGAATTGTAAAAAAGAATGAATTGTAAAAAACATCTACTACAAAAAATCGATTGTGGAAAATGCATTGTATAAATAATAAATATAAATCGATTGAAAAAACATAGATTGTAAAAAGGAATCGATTGTAAAAAAGAATTATCGTAAAAAAATAAACGATTGTAAAAAAGAATCGATTGTAAAAAAAATCGATTTAAAAAACTAATCTACTACAAAAAAATCGATTGTGAAAAATGCATTGTATAAATAATAAATATAAATCGGTTGGAAAAAACGTAGATTGTAAAAAGTAATCGATTGTAAAAAAGAATTTATTTTAAAAAAATAATCGACTGTAAAAAACTAATCTACTATAAAAAAAATCGATTGTGAAAAATCCATTGCATATATAATACAAATCGATTTGAAAAAACGTAATTGTAAAAAGTAATCGATTGTAAAAAACTAATTTGCTACAGAAAAATCGATTTTTGAAAAATGCATTGTATAAATAATAAATACAAATCGATTGAAAAAAACGTGGATTGTAAAAAAGAATCGATTGTAAAAAAGAACCTTTTGCAAAAAAAAGAATTGTAAAAAAAGAATCAATTGTAAAAAACATCTACTACAAAAAATCGATTGTGGAAAATGCATTGTATAAATAATAAATATAAATCGATTGAAAAAACATAGATTGTAAAAAGGAATCGATTGTAAAAAAGAATTATCGTAAAAAAATAAACGATTGTAAAAAAGAATCGATTGTAAAAAAAATCGATTTAAAAAACTAATCTACTACAAAAAAATCGATTGTGAAAAATGCATTGTATAAATAATAAATATAAATCGGTTGAAAAAAACGTAGATTGTAAAAAGGAATCGATTGTAAAAAAGAATTATCGTAAAAAAAGAAACGATTGTAAAAAAGAATCGATTGTAAAAAAAATCGATTTAAAAAACTAATCTACTATAAAAAAAATCGATTGTGAAAAATCCATTGCATATATAATACAAATCGATTTGAAAAAACGTAATTGTAAAAAGTAATCGATTGTAAAAAAGAATTTATCGTCAATAAGAATTGATTGTAAAAAAGAATCTATTGCAAAAAAAAGAATTGTAAAAAGAATCGATTTTAAAAAATAATCAATTGTTAAAAACTAATCTACTACAAAATATTCCAATTTGAAAAGTATCGACTAAAAAATAATCTTTTGTAAAAAGGAATATATTGTAAAAAAGAATCTGCTGCAAAAAATCGATTGTAAAATATCCAATTTGTAAAGTTGAACACAAAAAATAATCAATTGGCAAAAAACGGTGAAAACGGATGTAAAAAATCCATTGTATAGAGTTAACTCAAAAAATAATAATGGTGAAAACGAATTGATTGTAAAAGATTCAATGTAAAAAAGAATGGATTATAAAAAATTATTGAAAAAAAAAGAATCAATTAAAAAAACATTCCAATATGAAATGTTTACTAAAAAAAAATCAATTGTAAAAGAAGAATCAATTGTAAAAAGAATCAATTGCAAAAACCATTTTAAAAAATATTCGGTTATAAAAAATAACCGATTGTAAAAAAGAGTAAATTATAAAAGACAATCGACTGTAAAAAATAATCGACTGCAAAAAAATAATCGACTGCAAAAAAAGAATCGTTTGCAAAATAAAACCAATTGAAAATATCCAGGGTATAAAGGGTAAAAACGAATCGTATGTAAAAAGAATCGACTGCAAAAAAATTGTAAAAAAACGAATGTAAAAATAATGTTTTAAAAAATAACCTGTTGCAAGAGACAGTCAAAACGGTTGTAGAAAAATAAATTATACAGAGTTGACTCTAAAAAATAGTAATAGTAAAAAGAATTGATTGTAAAAGAGAATCATTGTGATAAAGAATCGATTACAAAAAAGACAATCGATTGTAAAAAAATTCGATTGAAAAAAAAAAATCGATACGTTGATTCTTTAAGCTGGTTTTTACAAAAGCGCGCGAGACAATGCCGTACTTAGTTTGTTTATTATTTCCTTTTAACAATTAAAAACACCTTGTGTTTTTAATAAAAGTAATCTAATAATTCGATACATATATTTTTAGCTACACGCTTCGGTTCTACTCAAAGACCCGATGGCGTCCGGCAAAACGGTCCGTAGAACTCTCGAGAAAGCCGTTTCGCACGACAAAACCAGCTCGACCAACGCCTTGTTTATGCTAGTCGAATTCCTAGAAGGCGAACAACAATACGACCAAGCGTCGCAACTTTTACTCAAACACTTAGAAACTCAAAAACCTTCGTCTAGGCTACACCAACTTTTAGGCGATTGTTTCGTCAATCTTCAAAAGGACGATGAGGCGTTCGATCATTATAATCTCGCTCTTAATTTGGATCCGACGAATCAAAGAGCGACCGAAGGGTTGAACAACATCGGAAGGAGTTTGTCGCTTAGTAAACGAGATAGTTATTATACTTGCGTGGGGGGAGAGACGTCGTATAATTCGCAGGGGACGAATTCGTCTGATCACGAAGTTGATCCGGAAAGTGATACGGACGGTACTTGGTAAAATTCTGGTATTCGTAAAAATTTATACAGTATGGTGCAAATAAAAGGAGAAACAATGAGGTATTTACGTAAATTTGTAACTACGGAGGAAAATTCAGAAACCCGTCGATTACAAGAATACAATATCAAAAATTTGAGAAAATTAAATAAAAATAAGATTCTTAAAAAAATCGGAAGATTTAAAAAAAAGTCAAAATTTAAAAAAGTATATATATCGAAGGTTTTAAAGTATGTCACTATTTTTAGATATTAAAGTCAAAATTAAAATTTTGTGAAAATAAAGTCAAAATTTTGTGAAAAATATAATCGAAAATTTTAATCATTAATTCAAAATTTTTACAAAAGGTGAATCGTTAAAAAATCCTGTCACTTTTAAAATACATATATCGAAAATTCAAGGTTTTCTTATTTATCTTTGATCGTGACGGACATTTAGTAAAAATTTTAGAAAAAATTACACATTTTCAGGTATGATTAAAAAAAATATCAACATTTTTAAAAACCAAAGTTAAAATTAAAATTTTGAGAGAATAAAATTTGAATTTTGAGATAATTCACATTTTGAGAAAATTTGAATCAAAATTTTTAGAAGTTAATTAATTTTTTTTTTTTAGAAAAAGACAACATTGCTAACAAGTTAAAATTTTAAGAACTGTCACTATTAAAATACATATATCCAAGGTTACAAGGTTTTTTTATTTTTCTTTGATCTTGACAGGCATTTAGCAAAATTTTTTGCCAAAAGTAAAAATTTTGAGAAAAAAAAACTATATTAAAAAGTCAACATTTAAAAAAATATCAAATTTTTAGAAAATATCAACATATTGAGAAAATTAAGTCGGGGAAAAATTAGGCCAACATCAAATTTTTTGAAAATTTTGAGAAAATAAATATTGTAAATTCAAAATTTTGAAAAACTCAATATATTAGGGGAAAAATCAGTCATTATTTTGAACAAATAGAAAAATAAAAAAGTTTATTTTTTTTATTTCTCGACTGATATTTACCTTAATTTTGACTTTTTAAAAAATTTATTTTAATTTTCTCAAAATTTTTATTTTATTTCTCAACATTTAAATTTTTCCCAAAAATTTTGACTGTTTTCTTTCAAAATATTTTTTCTAAAAATTATGACTTTTTCTTAATTTTCTTAAAATTGTAACTTTATTTCTTAAAATTTTGACTTTATTGTGTATACTTTCTCCAAATTTTATTTTTTTTATAATTTTTTTTAAATTAAGATTCTTTCAAAATTTTATTTTTTTCGAAAATTAACCTTATTTTTCGAAATTTTGACTTAAGACTTATTTTTCTCAAAATTATTTTTTAACTTTTTTGTTGACATTTTCTCAAATTTTTTTAATTAAGATTCCCTCAAAATTTTAATTTTTTTCAAAAATTATAACCTTTTTCGAAATTTTCACTTAGATCTGTTTTTCTCAAAATGATTTTTTAAACTTTTTTGATATTAACATTTTTTCAAAATTTTGTTGTTTTTTAAATTGATTATTTTTCTCAAAATTTTGACTTTGACTTTATTTTCTCAACATTTAAATTTTTTCAAAAATGTTGACTTCTCTTTCGAAATGTTATTTTCTAAAAATTATGACTATTTTTCTTAAAATTGTAATTTTATTTCTTAAAATTTCTCCAAATTTTAATTGTTTTTAAATCTATGGCTATTTTTTGTTTAAAATTATGATTTCCTCAAAATTTTAATTTTTTTATAAATTGTAACTTTATTTTTTGAAATTTTGACTTCGATTTAATTTTCTCAAAATATTGATATTTTTTTAAGAATGTTGACTTTTTTGATATTGGAATTTTCCCAAAATTTTGTTTTTTTTTAAATCTGATTATTTTTCTCAAAATTTTGACTTTATATTCTCAACATTTAAATTTTTCCGTCTTTTTTTTTCAAAAATTTTGACTGTTTCTTAAAATTTTGACTGTGTTCATATTTTCTCCAAATTTTATTTGTTTTAAATCTATGGCAATTTTTTTTTAATTATGATTCTCTCAAAATTTTAATTTTTTCAAGAATTGTGACCTTATTTTTCGAAATTTTGACTTCGATTTATTTTTTCTTAAAATTTTAATTTTCACAAAATTGCAACTTTTTCTCAAAATTATTTTTTTTTAATATTTTTGATATTGACATTTTCTCAAAATTTTGTTTTTTCTTTAATCTGATTATTTTTCACAAAATTTTAATTTTATTTCTCCAAATTTTGTCTTTCACAAATTTTTTTCAACATTTAAATTTTTCCCAAAAATTTTGACTAGTTTTCTTTCAAAAATATTATTTTCTAAAAATTATAACCATTTTTCTTAAAATTTAGATTTTTTAAAATTGACTTTACTTTTTAAAATGTTGACTTTATTGTATTCATATTTTCTCCAAATTTTATTTTTTTAATTGATTCCCTCAAAATTTTATTTATTTTTTGAAATTTTGACTTCGACTTAATTTTCTCAAAATTTAATTTTTTTTTTTTTTCAAATTTTTATTTAATTTCTCAAAATTTTTACTGAATTTATTTTCTCAACATTTTAATTTTTTTCTAAAATCTGACTATTTTTCTAAAAATTATAACTATTTTTCTCAAAATATTTACTGTATTTTTTAGAAATCTTAACTTTTTTAATATTGAAATTATTCTATCAATATTTTTAAAATGTTTCTAAATTTTCAAAATTGTAACTATTTCTAAAAAATATAACTTCGGTTTTATTTTCTCAAATAATTGACATTTTCTTAATATTTTTAATTTTTTCCTAAAATTATAATTCTTTTCTTCGAAATTTTGAATCTCTTAAAATTTTAATTTAATTTTTTTAAATTTTGACTTTAACTTTATTTTCTCAAAATGTTGATATATTTTCTAGAAATACTTTTTTTTTAATTTTGATTTTCTCAAAATTCAACTTAGTCTTAAAATTTTGACTTTTCTCAAAACTTTATTTTTCAGAATTTTAATTTCAACGTTATTTTCTAAATGTTTACATTATTTTTTAAATGTTGACATTATTTTCTCAAAATTTTTAATTTTTTCTAAAATCTAAGACATTTTCTTAAAAATATGACATTTTTTCAAAATTTTGACATTTTCACATTTTTATTTTTTTTTTTTTTTTTTTTTTTTTAAATCTGACCATTTTCTAAAAATGCTTTACTATTTTTTTTTCAAAATTTTAATTTCATCTTCATTTTCCAAAATGTTTACATTACTTTCTAAAATGTTAACTTTTTAAATGTTTTTTTTTTTTAATTATGACTTAAAATTTTGACATTTTCCCATTTTTATTTTTTTTTTTTTTAATCTGACTATTTTTTTTAATCTTATTTCTTCACTATTTTTATTTTTTCAAAATTGTAACTTTATTTTTCAAAATTTTAATGTCAGCTTTATTTTCTAAAATGTTAACTTTTAATGTTGACATTAGTTTCTCAAAATTTTTAATTTTTTCTGAAATCTCTGACTATTTTTCTAAAAATTATGACTTAAAATTGTGACATTTTCTCAAAATTTTGATATTTTCTCAAAATTTTGACATTTTTTCAACATGTTTATTATTTTTTTAAAAATTGTAACTTTGTTTATAAAAATTTTGACTTCGACATTATTTTCTCAAAATGTTGACATTTTCTAAATATGATTGGTTCTTCAGAATTTTAACTTTTTTTTTTTTTAATTTTTTGACTTTATTTTTTTTTTAACTATTTTACTCAAAATTTCTACTATTAAACTAAAATATTATGCATGCCATCGTACTTTTGCACTATACTGTACGCATATTCCCAATTTCATGGTGGATTTAAATAATTATAACATTTTAAAATGTACAATATGGCGGGTTTTACTATTTTTCCCATCAGAGTGCTAAATCTCTTTTAATATCGTAGTTTTTTAAATTAAAAAGACTGATTAGGAATTTTATTTATAAATGTGACGTTTAAAAAATGTTAGGTAATTTTAAGGTTAAAAGTGAGGGAGCATAACAATCAATTTTTTTTAAATTATTCCCAAAAAAAGTTTATTGGACCATTATTTGTTTTGAATACTAGAATTTTTGATGTTTTTTTTTAATAATTTGTTCGCTTAATATGTTTTATATTAAAAAAATTAAAAAAATAAATCAAAATTTTGTCGTTTTTCTATAAATTCTGATTTTATTTTATCAAAAATTTTACTTTTTTCTAATATTTTTCTCATAATACCTTTTACAGGACCCTGTATATCTGTAAGGTAAGTTGTTTCCCCCTCCCCCACATCATTGTGCATCTATGTGAAAGTATTTTTTTGACAAAGTGTGAATATAAATAAGCCTAATGAATTTGGCTCAAAAAAATGCTAAATTGATATTGAAAATTTGGCTCAAAAATTAAAATTGGTCTAAAAATATATATAAAATTTGTCCCATAATTAGTAAGATTCACTAAAAAAATTTAAATGTGGTTTAAAAAATATGCCAATTTAGTTAATATTAAAATATTGGCTCAAAAAAACTGCGGATTTGGCATAAAAAATTTAAATTCGTAAAAAGTAATCTTGTCTTGTGTATTGTTTATTTTTTTTTATAAAAGTACAGAATATAGCAAATTTAGCCTAAATGATCCAAAAAATTAAAAATTTGGCTCAAAAATGCTAATTTGTTTAAAAATTAAATATTTCGACTCGAAATATGCCAGTTTGGTAAAATCGGACCAATAAGTTTAAAAAAATGGAAAATTAATTCTAAAAATGCTAAATGGTTTAAAAAATCAAAATTTGGCTCAAAAATGACCAAAGATTGGTTTAAAAATGGAAAATCTGGCTCAAAATATGTAAATTTTGTTAAAAATTGAAATAGTAGCTCTAAAAAAAAATAATTTTGTATAAAACGAAAAATTTTACTCAAAAATGCCAAATTGTTTAAAAATATAAATTCTGGTCAAAAAATGCTATATGTGGTTAATAAATTAAATATTTGGCTCAAAAAAAGCCAATTTAGTTAGAAATAGAAATATTGGTTCCAAAAAATGCCAATTGCTTAAAAATTGGCAATTTGTTTAAAAAAATATAAAATATAAATTTTTGTCAAATAAAATGAATATTTCATTTAAAATATGCCAATTTAGTTATAAATTGAAATATCGGCTCAAAAAAACCAATTCTTTAAAAATTTGGCTCAAAAAAATTCTAAATTATTTAAAATAATTAATATTTGCCTAAAAATTGGCAAGTTGTTTAAAACAGAAATTTTGTCTCAATAGTAAGATTGGTTCAAAAAATGCTTAAGATTAAAAAATTAAAAATTTGGCTCAAATATGTTCATCGATTTTGTACTCCCTCCAGCCGTCTGACAGAATAATGGTGCCGGGTCGAATATATCTGGTTAATATTATGAAAAAAATTAGTTGTCAAACATTCAAAATGTAGAATAAAAAATACTTGTGGCATTCGGGGACTGCCGCGGTAAAGCTATTGCATAGCATTTTTTATCAACTTATGCAATTATAATTATTTATGTATTTTATGTATGCAGTATTTTTTTTCTTTGATATTAATTCAAGTTACACTTTCTGAGCGTGGTGACCGATAACAAAACAATTTTTTTTCTTTTATTGAATAAATGATAATATTTTTATTACCTTACAATTACATGTAAGTTATTTAGGAATTTTCATCATTGAAACTATAGGTTTATGGTAACTGAAATAAGAAACATAAGTTTGAGACTTGATATCCTCTAAATATCTGGAAAATACCGCGCCAATGGTGGTCCCATATTTTGTTGTGGATTCTTGTGGATCATTATTCATTTTCAAATTCAATTTTTCCGAAATTGTGTCTAAAAGAGATAGAATCAGTTATGAGCAGTTAGCAGCTAGTCTACACGCATATGTCTAGTCGCACGCACACAAACACCGTGCCGAAGTCTGCCGAACTGAAACGACGTTAGACGATGCACGGCTTTCAACGCCGCACCGCTGTGCCGGTCGGAGTTGGGGGTGTTAGGTTTATTTTCGTTACGGAATTTCTTTTTCGATTTTTTGATTTTTTTCGATTTTTTAATGTTTTCGATTTTTTCGTTTTTTTTTAATTTTTTCGATTTTTCTAGTGTAACTTATAGGATATTTCCCAGAATCCTACCATAAGTTTGTTAGTTTCAAATTACAGAATGAACTGCTAATAAATTTACGCATAGCGTACGCTACCCTACGTAGGCCTTGCGATTATAAAACCTGTCTTTGATTGGTTACGTTGGGTTCTTCTTACCTAATTTGCAGTTTAAACTTTATTTTAACCACTTTTAATATTATTTGAAGACACAAGTAGAAGGTGTAAAAGAAGGTGATGTTCTTCTAACGTTTTTAATTTGTATAAATTAATTTACAAATGTAACATGCATAGAAAATAAATAAATAAACACTTTCATCCACTCATGTCTTTATTTAATTTGTAATAAATTTACTATGACTAGTAATTTAATTCCATTATCGAGATTCAGGAATTTGTACAAGAAAATGAAGGTAAATTATTTGTACACTTAATAATTTTATTTTCAAATTTTAACAAAGGTATTAAATGTACCTAATTTATTAGTTTTTTTTTTCTGAATTCTTGGTACTGGATCGTTTTAAACCTATGGCAATTACCTCTCTTTCCCTAGAATGACCCTTTTGTTTCATAGGTTTGTGAGTCTTGATTTTTTCCAATAAATCTTTTTTGATATCTGAATTTTGTATCATTATGTTATTTCTGATGTTTAATTTTCAAGGGTTTGATCTACAACTGAATAATTATTAAAGGCACTAATAATTTAAAAAAACACACTCACTTAAATCTAAATTGTCTTCATTTTGAACTATTTGGATCAGTAAGGTAATAACTAGGGTACCATGTAGTATGCTTTCTAGTTGATCTACTTTTATATTTTCTACCACCACTACAACAAGTATAAGTAATCCGATAATATTAGGTCTTTATTTGCCTTCTCTATCCGTTTTGGCAAGGTTTTCTTAGCATAAATTAATCTTAATAATTATTTTTTTATACAATTGCACAAAAATTTGATCATAGTTCTTTATAAATGTCTGTATCTCAAGAAAGATATATTGCACTCAAACTGCATAAACTAATTTTAAAAACCCCCAACTTAAAATAATTATTGCAGTAATAAAACAAAGGGCCTAAACACTAAAAAAACATCACAAAACAGATCTTAAATTCACTTTTACTCTGGAATTCGCCAAATTCTGAATAATAGGATATTTAGCTTTGATACTATTTGTCCTATTAGTCAGATATTTACCAAAACAGGTTATAATATGCCCTACTAGTAGGATACATAGACAGTACCTTATATATTAGGTGTCCCTGGAGGAGCTGAAGAAAGGGAAACTGTTTAACAGTTAAAAGAAAATTGTATTCATAAAGTTTTTCTTGTTTCAAAACTAATAAAACTATTCAAACAAGTTAAATATCTTTGCTTAAAGTGAAATGATGACACAAACATTTTGATTTTTTTACCGCTTTATTAATGTGGTTTTTGATATTCTTGGATTGAATTTGTTCTATATATAATTATCTGCAAAGAAACTATTTAAAATGTACAGAAATTTGATTATTTTAATAAATTTTAGGAAATTTTAAATATTAGGTTATTTTCTTTCTTCTATACTTTTAAAATCTTATGGCCCCTTTCTTTAAGAAATTTGGTTTTTCTTCTAATTTTAATTATCATTGCCTTGCCTTTAATTTCGTACAATAACTAGTTAAAACAATTTTGGCTAAGTTATCAACTAAACCAGGCCAGTGGGTAGGCCAACTTTCTTTAAGAAAAAGGCCAGTAAATCTATGATTGTATAGAAGAAGACTTGACATTTGACAGTTTTTTAGTTCATTTTCAAATTTAAAATTTTTACTATTTTTGTTTGAAGATGCAGGTATTTGTTGCAATTAATATAGTATAAGTTTCATGTTTCTAACTCTTCCAGCTAATCTGTTTGTGTAAATTCTTTACTTTTATAGGCCTATTTTGGGGTTTGATAATGGACTTATGTTGGCATCCAACTTTATTTAAAATCTAGAAAAGCGAAAAATTAAATGAATATAGAAATGGGAAGGAAGTCCGAAATTCTACAATCGCCCTATGATTCTTGCAAAATAGCAGCACACAAACAAAGTAAGTACCGAAGTATAAGAACTTTGTTTTAGCAACTTCATGTATATGTCCTAGCCAAATTGTAAAACTATCCGTTTTATAAAATGTTTAGACATTTTACTAAAGGCGGCCAGATTGTCAAATTCTCGTTTCACATTCATTATTTTCCTATTTGGCTAGTCAGATTATAAAACGCCTAGGTATTTTATAAAACGACGGTTAACGCGCGGCCAGATTGTCAAATATTTAAAATTATCTCCTGCTTGACACTCTGGCGGGTGACAGTTTTCAGTCGTTTTGTAAAATACGAATTTTATTTAAAAATTTTTTTTTTTTTTTCTTTAGTGTACGGCTTCAACATCTAAGGTCATTAGCCTAGTGTTCTATGTAGGTTATGGATTGTACTAGTAGTCTAATACTCCATAGTGTAGAAGTATTAGTACTCTAATACTCCTACACCCCTACAGACAGGCCTTGTTACTGTTTCCTTGCGCCACTTTAGGAACAGCACTGTTAATTAGAACCCAACAGTGAATGGTCGAGTGGTTTATTTAAAATTGAAGTAGTCAAAATTTTTATTATTGGATTTAATGGGTTATCACGTGAATTAAAACAACGTAACGAATATTTTACATATTCTTTTAATACAAATGAAACTGAAGAACATAAACATAAAATATTTAAATAAACTTGAATAAAATAACATTTGCCATTGAAATATGGAACCTACGTATGGCATTTTCCCCGTGCCTTGAAACAAATACATTTATTTGTACACCATTATTGAACTTTGCAATGGCATTTTTTAAACCCTTGTACCTCAAAGTGAGCAATCATTTAAAAAATATACATTTTTATTTGCCAGACAAAAAACGCAACAACCTGTGCGTCTAAAAATATTTTTTGAATAGGCATGTTTTAAATCCTTATAACTTTTATTTGAAACTGGTTTGACTGTCAATAATATAAATTGAAATATTGAACAATTACGGGCTAATGGGACACTCTGTATATAGAATTTGTATCAGTTAAAAACGCCCAGTCTTTTACAATTGATTTTACATTGATCATGGCCATATTATTTTGAAATAAAATGAATTTAGCTCAAAGCCAGAATATCACATAAAATTAACGACCGTTTCCCCTTCAAAAAAAAACAACTACTCCTTTGGCTAATACCACAACAGGCATTGAATTACATCCGAAGGAAAAACAGCAGATAGAAATTAATTTTCAACACTCTCTACTTTGATTTTGCTCACCAAGGAGAACAGTATTGAAAATTAATTCTATCTCTGCTGTTTTTCCTTCGGATGTAATTCAATGCCTGTTGTGGTATTAGCCAAAGGAGTAGTTGTTTTTTTTTTGAAGGGGAAACGGTCGTTTATTTTATGTGATATTCTGGCTTTGAGCTAAATTCATTTTATTTCATTTTGCATCTATCACATTTGAGTTTTGATATTTTATTATCGTTTATATTATATTTTGTTATATAAATAAGAAATTTCACTTGAAATCCAAAGTAAGGAAAGCAATAACTGTTGCTTAAAAGTTTGATTTTAGATTTTATTACTTACCGGCATAAAAATCCTCTAATTGAGAATAATAATATTTCTTGTCTACGCTTACGAGTCCTACTTCACTAACGTCCATATTACTGCAGTTAAAATAAATAAAGCCAAAGAAAATTTAAAAATAACTTGTTAAATCGACAGTGTTTTACAAAACACAAAATGACTGAAACTCTTTTTCCACCGGAATGTCAAAAAAGGGATAAACTTAAACATTTGACAATCTGGCCGCGTGTAGACCATCGTTTTATAAAACACCTGGGCATTTTATAATCTGGCTAGCCAGATAGCAAAATAATGAAATGTAAACAAAAATTTGACAATTTGACCGCTATTTATAAAACGCCTAGGCAATTTATAAAACGACGAGTTTTGTAATCTGGCTACAACATATTTAATGTATAAGTAAAATTTGGGAAACCTTACAATGGTCTGCAAAAAGCTTAATTAAATCATAAATAAATAATGTATCACATTTAAACATATGTAAATTCATATAAAGTATATTTTTATTTTATATACGGCATCATTCTTGTTAATTATACATTATATTTCAAGGACACTACCCTATACATAACTATTTAAATTATTACAAACCATTTTAGAGGGAGCATGATTTCTTTTTGATATGTGAAAGTGTTATATTGTTTTTTTCTATGCATATCTCTATTAAAACTTAATACACATTTTTATATTTTTAGAAGTAGAAGTTCCATCAACCAGCAATAAAATTCTTGTGCCACTACATATGTAAGAATGATTTATTCAGCTTTGAGAAAAAATATCATTAATCCCAATTTTTCCAATTTGTTTTGCTTTTTACTCTTTGGCAGCTACCTATCTCTTTATGTAAACGACATTGCCTTAATTTAGTTGAAAATCACGCATTGAAGTTGTAGTGATAGAAACGAAACACTGCAAATTTTATATTGTGAATTTGTTAAGGCTTTAAATGAAATGAGAGCATTTACAGATAATCTTGAATATTCAAAAAGACCTGCTTGTAATTTATATGGTTAATTTTGTTTCGTTATGTAATATCTAAACGTTTTATATGATTTAAATGCCTTTATTATTAAGTTTATCAATTCTGTAACTGAAAATGTCGAGCACTGTTACATTTGCTAAGAAATTCATAGACTTTTTTTTAATTATCTAAAATTGTTTTTTTGCTATGACTTCTTAATTTTAATGAAATTATTGTTTTCTGCAGTGCTGACAAGATAAAACTTTCGGTCCCATTTTGTTAATTTTGGCGTTCGTGTGCAGGGCCGCTGAGAGCCATGACGGGACCCGGAGCAAAACACTGGCAAGGGCCTGTCCCCCACATATTATAACTTATAACCTATTTTTTATAGCTGCCTGGGCTCTGAGGATTTTGCTTCCCTTGCCCTTGCCAACCCCTCTCGACGGGCCTGTTCGCATGTGCAGAAGAGGAAAGAATGCATAGTATCGACGTTGCCAGTGACAAGATGGTAGCTCTCACTATCAATTAACGACTCTACTTGTGATTAACAACATTGATACTGCTTCGTTTCTTTTCCTTACATGTCTGAACGTCATTATTCACTAATCAAACCAGCAAAGCAGGGTATCTTTATTGTGTTTGTCAATATTTAAATGTACAATTTCTGTGTATTATGTATTTGTTTACAAATAAAACATCTTTAATCGACTTCTTTGTTTTTGTTTCTTAAATTAAATCGATTTCAAAGGACAAATCAGTTAAAAGGTGAGTAAGAAATGACTGGCAAAAAAGTACAAGCGCCATCTATTAGCTAATAGTCGAAGCTACACAATTTCAGATGTTCACTAATCGGCAACCAAGATTACACACTGGTGTATTCTGTGTTGCCTGTCAACTAGGAGATATTATGTATAGGAAAAAATACATCGACTTTTGAATTCTTGTGCTTTCATTTATATCCATACCCTCCAATCAAATATTTACAATTTTCCCATCGTTTAAAAAATACTTCTTACATCATTTGATTGTTGGTAACTGAAAAAATTGCAAAAATATTTAAAATCTTCAAGATTCATTTCCTGTGCTTCGATTTAAATATATACTCATTTCCATCGAGGTAGGAACGTAAATAAAACTTACGCGACGATTTAAAATTATTTTCGCGCGTTTTAAAACCTCTTATAATACCTATTCGGTTTTCTGCTATCCTGATACAAAGATAAAATAGTAAAAAGTTCCAATTTTGCCAATAAAATTTTGGTATCAAGATAATAGAAAAGCGAGGAGGTATGAACAATTTTTATTTTTGCTCAGATCTTTATGAAATTCGGCACAACGTTACAGTATTTAATTTAAAATGTCTGGCAGGTGTCTGCTTCTCTCCATCTTCGATACTTTTTCTAAATAAGTCACAACTTTTTTATTATTACTGTTAGAAAAAAAACTGAGTATATTTTTGAGCTCCAGGGGTTGCATTCTATGCGTATGCAGATTATAAATTGTTTTTATTTTCTCAAAAAAATCGAAAGGGTATAGACTTCCAAATTTTTTGACAAAAATTTTTTTTGTCTCCGATCTTGATGAAAATTGGGGTACATATAAAAGAAAGCAAGAGGAATTAAGGGGTGAACCCAGTTGCTCCCTAGCTGTAAGAGTTAACTTTTTTTATTAATTTCTCCAGTTAATAACGATCGAATTATTCCATAAATTCACATAGAGGTAGAGCCGGACGGATAGTTTAAAATGCCCCTTACCGCTAGCCTCTATCTTGCGCCGTTTAGTAGTTATTCACATTTAAAATAAAGTCAAATACCTTGTCGCGTTTCTGCTATCCTGGTACGAAAATTTTAAGACAAAATTGGATCTTTTCGAATTCGGAACTTTGTATCAGGATAATAGAAACGCGAGGAGATATCGAAAATTTTTATTTTTGCCATAACTTTTTTAATATTGCTGTTAGAAAAAAACTGAGTCTATTTTTAAGATCTACATGTGACCCTTCATCCGTATGCAAATTTAAACAGTTTTTTATTTTCTCAAAAAAATCGAAAGGGTATAGCCTTCCAAATTTTTTGACAAAAATTTTTTTTGTCTCCGATCTTGATGAAAATTGGGGTACATATAAAAGAAAGCAAGAGGAATTAAGGGGTGAACCCAGTTGCTCCCTAGCTGTAAGAGTTAACTTTTTTTATTAATTTCTCCAGTTAATAACGATCGAATTATTCCATAAATTCACATAGAGGTAGAGCCGGACGGATAGTTTAAAATGCCCCTTACCGCTAGCCTCTATCTTGCGCCGTTTAGTAGTTATTCACATTTAAAATAAAGTCAAATACCTTGTCGTTTCTGCTATCCTGGTACGAAAATTTTAAGACAAAATTGGATCTTTTCGAATTCGGAACTTTGTATCAAGATAATAGAAACGCGAGGAGATATCGAAAATTTTTATTTTTGCCATAACTTTTTTAATATTGCTGTTAGAAAAAAACTGAGTCTATTTTTAAGATCTACATGTGATCCTTCATCCGTATGCAAATTTAAACAGTTTTTTATTTTCTCAAAAAAATTCCAAATTTTTTGACAAAAATTTTTTTTGTCTCCGATCTTGATGAAAATTGGGGTACATATAAAAGAAAGCAAGAGGAATTAAGGGGTGAACCCAGTTGCTCCCTAGCTGTAAGAGTTAACTTTTTTTATTAATTTCTACAGTTAATAACGATCGAATTATTCCATAAATTCACATAGAGGTAGAGCCGGACGGATAGTTTAAAATGCCCCTTACCGCTTGCCTCTATCTTGCGCCGTTTAGTAGTTATTCACATTTAAAATAAAGTCAAATACCTTGTCGCGTTTCTGCTATCCTGGCACGAAAATTTTAAGACAAAATTGGATCTTTTCGAATTCGGAACTTTGTATCAGGATAATAGAAACGCGAGGAGATATCGAAATTTTTTATTTTTGCCATAACTTTTTTAATATTGCTGTTAGAAAAAAACTGAGTCTATTTTTAAAATCTACATGTGACCCTTCATCCGTATGCAAATTTAAACAGTTTTTTATTTTCTCAAAAAAATCGAAAAGGTATAGCCTTCCAAATTTTTTGACAAAAATTTTTTTTGTCTCTGATCTTGATGAAAATTGGGTTACATATAGAAGAAAGCAAGAGGAATTAAGGGGTGAACCCAGTTGCTCCCTAGCTGTAAGAGTTAACTTTTTTTATTAATTTCTCCAGTTAATAACGATCGAATTATTCCATAAATTCACATAGAGGTAGAGCCGGACGGATAGTTTAAAATGCCCCTTACCGCTAGCCTCTATCTTGCGCCGTTTAGTAGTTATTCACATTTAAAATAAAGTCAAATACCTTGTCGTTTCTGCTATCCTGGTACGAAAATTTTAAGACAAAATTGGATCTTTTCGAATTCGGAACTTTGTATCAGGATAATAGAAACGCGAGGAGATATCGAAAATTTTTATTTTTGCCATAACTTTTTTAATATTGCTGTTAGAAAAAAACTGAGTCTATTTTTAAGATCTACATGTGATCCTTCATCCGTATGCAAATTTAAACAGTTTTTTATTTTCTCAAAAAAATTCCAAATTTTTTGACAAAAATTTTTTTTGTCTCCGATCTTGATGAAAATTGGGGTACATATAAAAGAAAGCAAGAGGAATTAAGGGGTGAACCCAGTTGCTCCCTAGCTGTAAGAGTTAACTTTTTTTATTAATTTCTACAGTTAATAACGATCGAATTATTCCATAAATTCACATAGAGGTAGAGCCGGACGGATAGTTTAAAATGCCCCTTACCGCTTGCCTCTATCTTGCGCCGTTTAGTAGTTATTCACATTTAAAATAAAGTCAAATACCTTGTCGCGTTTCTGCTATCCTGGTACGAAAATTTTAAGACAAAATTGGATCTTTTCGAATTCGGAACTTTGTATCAGGATAATAGAAACGCGAGGAGATATCGAAATTTTTTATTTTTGCCATAACTTTTTTAATATTGCTGTTAGAAAAAAACTGAGTCTATTTTTAAGATCTACATGTGACCCTTCATCCGTATGCAAATTTAAACAGTTTTTTATTTTCTCAAAAAAATCGAAAGGGTATAGCCTTCCAAATTTTTTGACAAAATTTTTTTTTGTCTCCGATCTTGATGAAAATTGGGGTACATATAAAAGAAAGCAAGAGGAATTAAGGGGTGAACCCAGTTGCTCCCTAGCTGTAAGAGTTAACTTTTTTTATTAATTTCTCCAGTTAATAACTATCGAATTATTCCATAAATTCACATAGAGGTAGAGCCGGACGGATAGTTTAAAATGCCCCTTACCGCTTGCCTCTATCTTGCGCCGTTTAGTAGTTATTCACATTTAAAATAAAGTCAAATACCTTGTCGCGTTTCTGCTATCCTGGTACGAAAATTTTAAGACAAAATTGGATCTTTTCGAATTCGGAACTTTGTATCAGGATAATAGAAACGCGAGGAGATATCAAAAATTTTTATTTTTGCATAGATCTTTATGAAATTTGGCACACAGGTACAGTATTTAATTTGAAATGTCTGGCAGGTGTCTGCTTCTCTCCATATTCGATACTTGTTGCTAAATGAGTCACAACTTTTTTATTATTGCAGTTAGAAAAAAACTGAGTATATTTTTGAGCTCCAGGGATTGCATTCTATGCGAATGCAGATTTTAATTTTTTTTTTTAGCATTTTTTAATATATGAAATAAAATAAGTCGTTTAAAAAGATGTTTATTTATAAAAAATACAAAGTTAAACATATAATTTAAGACAAATTTCAATAACGTGACATAAATATTGTACATATACATACAAAATAAAGAGTATACAATAGGAAAAACATTTTTTTAAAGAAAAATTTGAATTATTCACTTAAAAGTAAGAAATTATAGCAAACAAATAATTTTACATAATTAAAAAACGGGCCTATTATTAACATTTATCATCATTAAGCAGGAGCAGGTGGACCCACTGGAAAACCTGGAGATTTGTTTCTAGGAAATGATGTCTTTCCTCCAATAATCATTCTTGAAGGTACTGCTGGATGATGGAATTTCAACTTCTGAAAGCATAAAAATATTTGTTAGATATAAACAGAAAAAATAATGCAAAACCTTTAGTTAGATCAAAAAGGAATCAACAGCCTTTTCACCCAGTGTTGCCAGATCAAAAATTTGCTGGAACATTAGATGGGTGGGAAAAAACAGTAGTAGATTTTAATATAGAGGGAAAATAGTCATATAAGAAAAAAAAATTAAAATTTTTGAATGTTATACCTTAATTACAAATTAAACAAAAATTATAAATAATAAAATAAATAAAATTTGTAAAACTAAAGTCAGGAAACCAGTAGAACAGAGACAAAACAGTAGATCTACTACAATAGGCCCAAAATAAATATTACTGAACTTATATAATTCTTTTATTTAAGAAATATTAATTATTTAGACCTCCTTTAACTCATTGATGGTCTATGGTGTATTTTTGAAGACTGCTTCTTTGGTCATTGTGTCTGGAAAGGTAAGATCTGGTAGTTTTTGACAATTACATGCTACTAAGTGAATACTGTTTATTTTGGACCATACTGTATTAAAACAGCAGGTCTTGCAACACTGCTCTAATCTCTAAATCTAAAATCGTTTGTAATAATTTGATCAGATGCAGGATATCCCTAAAACTAT